ATGTAATGAATTATGCTTAAATGCAAACAATTCTAATACCTTAGTTCTATTACAAAGACTTACCAAATTAGTTTGTCTTTAGTTTCATTCAGAAGTGTCCATAGATCCTTTGTTTGTATTTGATAAGAACTGGAAATACATAGTAGCAGGAACAGGTTGATAGTCTTTGAAAGCATGAAGACTCACATTTCAAAGTAGCTGCCATCCTGAACCTCTTCAGACAACCCTCACCTGAATGAGAGCTTTCCTTGAGCCAAGCGGACTTTTTGCTCCTATTGATTTCAGTGGAAGTGTTGATGATTCTTGTCCGATAGAGCACTTAGTAGGAATGGAAAGACAAAGTCTTCTACTGTGAAAATGTAATTTCTGCAAGACAGATATGTGGGCAAATATGTGGACAGATGCCTTTCTCATCAGAATACATGGTCTGAACAGTTATTCCCAAGAGTTTGCTTTTTTTAACAGTCTTAATGTTCCTCCCTCAGAACAGCTCAACTTGCAACCTTAATTCTTCTCTCCTGGAGAGTTGTTTCCAATTCTTTTTGCAGCTTAAACTGGCGGCTTCTGGCATGAGGGCTGCTGGAACCCCCTTGGAGCACTCATACCAGGACCTAAATCTGGTTACAAGGTGGGGTTGTGAGGAGACACTGTGATTCTGGTTTCTAACATAGAAGCTATCCATTTCATGCTATTGTTTGACAGATTTTTCAGACTTAACTGAAGAACGATGTAAATGTTTTCTGTGGGTTTCATGCATTAAACTGTGAAGGTCTTCTCCCTCTCAGCAATAAGCCCTTTTTCAACAACAACAACAACAACAACAAGAGAGAGAGAAGGTGAACAGATTCAGTACTCTGGAAGTTCCATTTCCTGTATGAGCACTCTTGAAATCTTAATGAAAAATCACTAAAATTAAGTCCTTAAAATTTGTCTGGTATTTATAAACTGGGATCACTAAAGCCAGCTGCAATGGGATTTGTGGGTGTTGGATACATTTAAAAATCAGTGCGGTCATTTAAATATGTAACCATGTTTGATCACTTGTGGCAACAAAATAAGTTCTAAGTTTATACACTTGCATGCTCTTACCTACTCAGATATAGTCCTTGAGTAATCCCAGTGGATACTACTTAACTTAAAAATAGCATTCAGCCCTATAATTTCTCTGCTGGCAGTTGAGCATCCAGCCACACTATACCCTGCATGTTTCTTTAACTTATTTTCCTAATTAAAGTTTGTGAGGCACTAAACAGTTGTTTATGATGGCTGTAAATAGCATTTGTATATGTAATAGCATAGAATAAATGATTTCTGAAGTAGTGACAGAATAGGGTGCATAATGTCTGCCAGGGACTTTGCTGATATGCAGGCTTCTACCTGCTCTAGGCGTACAACTGTCTTGAAATCACTTCCATGTTTGCATGTCACCTCACGAACAGCCACATCCAAAAGCCTTATTGCATTTTTGTTCAGTATATTTTGAATTATTACTGATTTTAAGAGTTTAGCCCGTTATCAATACTACAGCAAGTTTTCTATTTCTTGGTCATTTCAGATATCTAGTTCAGAGCTTGTGAGCCATTGTTGTCATTCTGCTTTCTGACTTACCCAGGTTCAGTGGGACAGCTGTAACTTGCATATTTTACAGGAGGAGACTACTGAACCAAAACTTTCTGTTTAATGTGAAAGTTGGTGGAGTGCACTGAAGAGGAGTATAGGCTGAAATTGAGTCTTCAGTGAAAACATTCTTAAACATTCAAATTCAGGATGTGGATCAAACATGAATTTTCTCAAAATCTAAGGTGTTTGAATTTTCTGTAAATAATGATGGGTTTGTTGTAAATGTCACATTGTGATTTGGACATATTTGTGAGTGTTTTAATATTAAAGCCAATTTACACAACCTAACAGGAAAGGTGTAATTACAATTAAGTTGATGCAAAATTTATCACTTTTTAATGCAACTGTGTCAACTGGGGTTTCATGAATGTCATTGCAAGAAAATGTTATGCTTTTTCCAATGATCTGAATTATTTTTATAGTAATGATTATTCCAGTTCACATTGTAATGACTTGATGACATGTGTTTCCTGATTCTCATCCTGTAGGATATGATGATTCATCCTTAGATAAGCATTTTCAAATATTTATTTTGCAACACTATGCCACGGTATTAAAGAAGGAAAGGAGAAATTGTTTGACCTGTAAGAGTAAAATAAATTGTTTTATACAAGTCTAACAGTTTTAGATGAACTGTTTGACTACCTTGCCAAAAATGTGTTACCATCAATGGTTTCTTCTCTCAACTCTGCTTTTATTCATATCATGTATATATTGTTTTAAAAGAACATATAGCTTATTTGTTTGACTTGGGTCCAGGAGAAACATCATGCCAATAATGTTAGTGCACCTTTGTACTCAAAGGCCATTTGAAAGAAGGTGAAGCTACTTCATGAAATTATAGTTTATTTAAGGAAATTTAAACAGTATGATTGAAGATACAACATCAACCATGAAGAAGGAATAATCATTAAAACACAACCACTCCATCAAGCTTCCAATGTTTCTTGCAGTCTTTTACTAGTATTAACATTGCTGTATTCTCTTATTATCATCCTAAATATCTCTGTCATTACCCACAGGCTGCAACATTTTTCTGTAGCTGTTTTATTCTCATATTATGCTGAGGCACAATCTTGATGGTCCTGTTTAAGCTCTTTTCCGTAGATACCATTTTCAGAATGTGATTGTTTACTACTTCATATATTTCTGTATTTTCTTAAAATAGACTGTAAAAAACAGAAAATTTTCCCCTCTCAAGAGTTATGGGGATCTATTTTTGTGTGCTTTCTTTGGCTATACAAATCTGCAGTCTCTTAATATAACGCTGGAAAATGATTATCGGATTACCTTTAATTTTGGTTGATGCATTTCTGACAGACTGAAGCAATAATCACTGTAATAGTTTTGCTTTCCCAACTTAGTTCTGCTGTTTTTACTCTCAAAGGCAGCACATTGCCAGAAGGGTTAAATACTTTACATTGCAGTGTTACATACGAGTAAGGGCATTTCATTGCTTATTTTAGGCTCAGCTATGAATTTCATCCAGTCTTTCTGCACTTAATACAAACTTTTTCTGCAACAAAAGCAATTCTAGAGGGTCAATTCAGGCTGCATATTAAAATTAGTACTAGTGATGGGATGAATGTGCTATAAAATTTTGCTTGCGAAGCTGCCTGTCTTTCTTCAAGGCAAACGTGAAACATGAACGTTATATTCTCAGATCATCATCACAGAAAAGTATGTTTTCCTAAACCCTCTTGCTCCTTTGGATCACACAGCAGTAAAGACTGCACTGTATCATTCTTTGATTTTCTTATTCAAAAAGGGTGGAGCATTTCTGTATGCTTTGCCATTCAAACATTCCTGGTGGTTCTATTTTCAACTCAAAAATTTTAAATTAGTAACAGATGTGCTGATTCTTTTGACTGAAGCAGAGGGCAAATTTTTCTACTGTATTTTGAATAAAGTTTTTTAAACTTTTACTGATTATTGAACCCCGAGTGCTAGTTTTTGTAACTAGCCTTCACTGTAAATAGTATCTACACCACAGAAATGTCACTGAAATCAGTGGGGAGTAGTCCTGGTATTATAAGTATGATGAGGGGCAGCAGAACATATTTAGAGTGACTATAAAATGCAGCTTATGGAGCTAGACCCCACTAAGGTGTAGCATCCCAGTATTGCATATCCCAACCTGTTTAGGTATGTTTTGTTAATATTTCATCCCCACTCACCCCAAAATTGCAAAGCAGGTAGCTTGGAAAATAGCTGGCATACAGGCATACATATGTTATTGGTAATGCTGGTCTATTGCCACAAAATTTATAGAAAACTCTTGTGCAGCAGGACTCCCAGGAAGCTTTATAGATCTGGTGCACAATGGATTTGGGGATCTCAATATATCTGAAGCAGGAAGAAAGGCTTGTGAGTAGGACAGAAGGAAGACTCTAGAGGGAAAAATACCTAAGGAGAATCAAATTCCAATTTAAGGAGTATAGTTTTGAGGTTTATGTTGCAACCATCAGGTTGATGGTGGAGCTATTTTGCATTTTCACACAGTTTGAGTGTGAGTTTCCTCCCCCTTTCTGCTCCTGAACTCTCTTCATTACTGTAATTTATTTAAGTGTAAGTCTCATCCTTTCTCCTTGCTTATTTATTGACACATGTGTACTTGTGATAACACAGCTGCTGGTGTAATCTTTCATTATCCTTAAGCTTTTGAATTTTTTTGTTAATGATAATACAGATGCATGATTTCTTATTTGGATCTGTAGATCATCTAGCAATGAGAACTGATAAGTAATACAGACTGTAATAATTTCCGTAGTGATTTTTTAAAAGATTTGAAGGCCAAATAGCTCTTGACCTTCTAGTGCACAAAAGGAAACAAACACCAGGTTAAAAACATAAAAGGCAGGAAACAACCATTTTTATAGGTAGAATATCTGCTTCATTTAAAAGGGGATGAAAAGCATTCATTAATACATAATTTTAAAAAGCCTGAATTTTTTTCTTCCAGGAATACTGAAAATATTAAAGGTATGCTTAGGGGCCACTATGAAACAGGGACAAAAGAAATACAAAAGCAAATTGCAGTTTATTGTGAAAATGCCTCAGGCTCACACTTAAGAATTTTTCACATATTCTAAATTGTCAAAGTTTGGTTTTACTTATGCATGTTTTAAGTTGCCTTGAGAAATTATACATCTCAAACATTCAGACTTTAGAGAAGTGACACTAAATTAATTTGTCAGAGAAGACAAACCTTTTGTCAAAAATGCTTTTCCATTGGTGGAACACTGAACTTAAGTCTTCTGGGTGCTTTAAAACCCTTAGGCTGACTTGCTATATTTGTTAAATAGGAGTTGTTTAAATGCAAAATGTCTGTCTTTTGATGTCTCTGAAGTAGTTCCCATTTTTTTTTTTCCTTGGGGCAGGAGGAAAGATGTCACTTGGATATCAAGAAGCTTTTGAAGTTTTCAAGAGGGACCATGCAGACAGTATAACCATTGAAGACAACAACCAGCTTCTAAAACAGAGGTAAGTATCCCAGCAAGATACAGCTAGAGGCAGAGATCTGAGAGGTCATTATGAGTCTGGGTAGGAATGCATAATTTTACACCAGACATCCCAGGCTTCTATTGAGAACTTGGTACAAAAACTTCACCTTTTTTTACTGGGGATATTTCATATTCAAGAAGGCACTGAGTGGTGACAGAATAAAAGTCGGGATAGAATATGAAAGTGGCATGATGAATGTTAGTGCATATTTCCTCTGATTTTATTCATCTTATCTTTATAGCCATGATGAAGCAGTGTGGTAATGGCATTCATGATCACGAATTATCTAGAGGAAGTAAGATCCATGTGATTGAATCAATTACTGCAATTTCCACTGTCAAAAATGCTTTACTGGCTTCAGCACCGAGTTGGAGAGTAAGCTAGGAGATGTTTAACATATGCTGTTGTCTGTTGTTCCTAATTGTTTGCCAAGTGATTTTAACTTCTCTCTGCCAGTTTTGCACTCAAAAACAGAAATAATACTTTCCTCTTCCACATTTATTATTAATGCTGGCAAAACACTTCAAAATCTTCCAGTGAAGACAGTGAGAATGGCTAAACATTGAAAACGTTAATTTTCATAAAGCAGATTTTAAACATCTCAGAAATTAAACCACCAACACTTGTCCATGTTGACTGGATAAGAGTACTGTTTCAGTGTCAGTTTTTCGAATGTTAACCCTCCTCATACTGCAAGAGAAATACAAGGTTTTAAGATTGGAGATGCCTTCTTTTTCCTTTTTTTTTCTGTTTGTTTTTTTGGGGTTTTTTGTGTTTTTTTTTTTTTTTTGTCCTGGGGTTTTCTCCTTCTCCAGGTTTCTCCTGCTTTCTTCTGCTTTCTTAATAACACAATTTTCCCACTTAATAAGCATGAAAGACATTGCTTCTAGGGTCACTGAGTCTTATTTATGTCAGTAAAACTGAGGCAAGAAATTATCTCCACATCTCTGTGAATAATTCAAGATCTTGATATTTAACACTTTTCTGAACTGGTTAACTTTCTACCTGGGTCTATAACTTAGCCACAGGGACACAAATTGCCAGGGTATTATTAGATGTATGTAAGAATTTATCCATGTAAACTGGATGCTTAGTAATGCCTTTCTTCTGATCAGTATATCAGATGATGCCACATCACGGCATCATCATTGCATAAATGATTACACTGCAATAATTTATGGCATTGCTGTCTATTGAAAAAAACACTTCATGGTCACAGCATGATAATGGGAGCAATACAGTTTTGAGCCATGCCCTGCATTTCCTCCATAATTATTCCATATTTTCTCTGTTTGTTATTACTATAAAACAAACTGGTATTTCCTTCTGGTTTCAGAACTTATAATAGAGATGGGCAGAACCCACAAAGTCTGATGCCAGATTTGCTTTCCCTAAAGGACAGAAAGATTCAGACTAATGCCTTAGGTAACCCCTCTCTAATATGCATCAGCTGATTGCAGAAATCAGTGTGTACAGGAATGTTGACACCCTGGAGCAAGAGACTTTTCCCCTGCTATTTGCAGTCATTTTTAGCAAAGATGCCTATAGCTCTAAGTTTACTGAGTTCATTAGAATGGATTTATATCAAGTCCAGTCTGTAATTTGGAATACAGCTTTTGAACTACCAGTTACACAAAAGCTCTGTTACCCATCCAGTGTTCAAATTGCACAGGAAGAAGTGTGTGGACACCACATGTTTAAAGGTTACCATAACTTCCCTTTATATGTAGGCCTCTCATGTTAATAATTTTGTTTATAGTTGCATAACCACTTCTGTCATACCACAAACAGTATTCAGTTCACAAATTACTTATTTTTAGATGCCTTATTTTTTCCTTTGGGTATTTTGGGTAGATTTTCTTGGCTTGCTAATTATCATAGAATCATAGAATAGTTTAGGTTAGAAGGGACATTTAAAGGTCATCTAGTACAACCCCCTGCAATGAGCAGGGACATCTTCAACTAGATCAAGTTGCTCAGAGCCCCGTCCAACCTGATCTTGAATGTTTACAGGAAGGGGGCATCCACAATTTCTCTGGGCAACCTATTTCAGTGTTTCATCACCCTCACAGTAAAAACTTTCTTCCTTATATCTAGTCTAAATCCACCCTCTTTTAGTTTAAAAGCATTACCACTTGTCCTATTGCAACAGGACCTGCTAAAAAGTTTGTGCCCATCTTTCTTATAAGCCCCTTTAAGTACTGAAAGGCCACAATAAGGTCTCTCTGAGCCTTCTCTTCTCCAGGCTGAACAACCCCAACTCTCTCAGCCTTTCCTCATAGCAGAGATGCTCCATCTCTCTGAGCATTTTTGTGGCCCTCCTCTGGACCCACTCTAACAGGTCGATGTCATTCCTGTCCTGAGGACTCCAGAGTTGGACAAAGTACTCCAGGTGAAGTCTCACAAGAGCAGAGTAGAGGGGCAGAATCACCTCCCTTGGCCACACTTCTTTTGATGCAGCCCAGGGTATGGTTGGCCTCCTGAGCTGTGAGTGCATGTTGCCAGCTCATCTCCAGCTTTTCATCCACCAGTACTGCCAAGTCCTTCTCAGCAGGGCTGCTCGCAATCCCTTCATCCCCCAGCATGTACTGATACTGGGGGTTGCTCTGACCAATGTGCAGGACCTTGCACTTGGCCTTGGTGAACCTCATGAGGTTCACACAAGCCCATTCCTCAAGGCTTGTCCAGGTTCCTCTGGATGTCATCCCTTCCCTCCAGCGTGTCAACTGCACCACACAGCCTGGTGTTGTCTGCAAACTTGCTGAGGGTGCACTGGCTCCCACTGTCTATGTCACTGATGAAGATACTAAACAGTACTGGTCCCAGTATGGACCCCCAAGGAACACCACTTGTCACCGATCTCCATCTGGACATTGAGTCATTGACCCCTACCCTCTGATTGTGACCATCCAACCAATTCCTCATACACTGAACAGTCTACCCATTAAATCCATATCTCTCTAATTTAGGGAGTAGGATGCTGTAGGGGACCATGTCAAAGGCCTTACAGAAGTCCAGATAGATGACATCTGTAACTCTTCACTTGTCACTCCATCGCAGAAGGCCACTTGGTCAGGCATGATTTGATGCACTGGTGAAGCCATGCTGGCTGTCTCGAATCACTTTGCTGTCCTCCATGTACCTTAGCATAGCTGCTGGGATGATCTGTTCCATGATCTCCTCAGGCACAGAGATGAAGGTGACAGGTCGGTAGTTCCCAGGGTCCTCCTTTCTATCCTTTTTAAAAATGGGTGTGATGTTTCCCTTTTTCCAGGTGCCAGGGACTTCATTTGACTGGCATGATTTTTCAGATATCATGGAGAGTGGCTTGGCAACTACATCAGCCAATTCCCTCATCTCATCAGGTCCCATAGATATATGTATGTTCAGGTTCCTCAGGTGGTCACAAACCTGATCTTCTCTTGTGGGAGGGATTTTTCTCCTCCAGTCCCTGTCTTGTGGTCCATCCACTTGAGAGGTGTGGGAAGAGAGATTGTCAGTGAAGACTGAGGCAAAACAGCTGTTGAACACCTCAGCCTTCTCATCCATTGTTACCAGTTTTCCAGTCTTGTTCATCATAGGGTGTACACTTTCTTTGACCTTCCTTTTCCACATGCCATACCTGTAGAAGCCCTTATTATTCTTTTCATCCCTTGCCACATTCAGCTCCAGCTGTGCCTTGGCCCTTCTGACCCCAATCCTACAAAACCAGGCAGTGTCGCTATACTCTTCCCAGGACACCTGTCCCTGCTTTCACTGTCTGTGCCTTCTTGCCCTTTAGTTTGACAATCCATACCAGTCTCTTGCCTTCCTTTCCTGATTTCTTATACCTGGAGATCAAGAGCTCTTGGGCTCTGTGGAATGTGTCCTTAAAGATCTGCCAGCTCTGTTTTGCTCACTTGTGCCTGAGGGCAGTTTCCGAGGGAGTCCTACTGACTAACTCCTTGAACGGATGGAATTTTGCTTTCCTAAAATTCAGGGTCCTGACTTTACTCTTTACCTGATCCATATCCCTCAGGACTGTGAACACCACCAGTGCATGATCACTTCAGCCCAGGCTGCCTCCAATCTTGACATCATCAATACTTTTTTTTTTTTTCTGTAACTACTTGTGCATGAACAATCAAATGTAATTGGTTGACTAAATCAAATACTGAAAAGCATTTGTCTTGTTTAAAAAAAAAAAATATATATATATATATATAAAAGAAATACTGGGTTTGACATCAAACTTTTCACCTACTACTTCAGACCTCTTTACAGGGGCAGTATCAAAGACGGTACTGTAACTCAGTACAATCTCTGGATTTAAAAAGTGGAGAAGCTTATATAGTTAAAGATAATTTCTCTCTGAAGCTCATTTACTGACTTACTGTTCAAGTGAAATACAATAGATTCAAGCTATTCTATTAGGACAATTGCCTATGGGAAGTGACTTTGTAAGATAGAAAAGGTGAACTTCTGCAGTTTAGTTTGCAGTTAATGCAAAGCAATTATTTTTCCTGATTCTTCTGTTCATTAATAACTGCTGTCCTGCTTAAAAAAAAAAAAAAAAAAAAAAAAAGTTTATGCCCAGACAGAATCAGGTTTTTGCAATTTGGACTTCCTATACTTGACTTGCAGAGAACTTAATAATATCCCTTAATAATATCCTGTTTCTCAATGCAACCATGTCCTCTTAGCATTGTTTCTCTGAGGGGGAGAAAAATGCATCTCATTTTCTGGTGAAATATACTACCAAGAAATCTTCCCAGCTGAGCCACTCCACTGTAATATTGCATACTGCACAAAGCTTTTAAATCCCATCCTAGTCAATCTTTCCAGTAGTAAAATTCAACTGAGCTTACAGATGTAATGTAAATCTAGTTTCCATTTTGTTATTCTCCATTAATTTTTTCCACTTTCTTCTTTCCTTGCTTTCTGTGTTTCAGCTGGTTTGCAGCTAACTTGTTTTTTCAGTACCTATGGATGAATTTCGTGGAAAGGATGACTTTCCCTTAGGTCACCTGTTGTAATTCCTAATAATTAAAAATGAGTGAATGTTCATTTAATTCACTAAATGTCTCCATTCTCTTATTAAACAACCTCTGAATTTGTCTTGGTTTACATAATGAGTTAGACTTTTTAATTCAAAATGTTTATTTTTTAATTACTGGCGTTTGCATTCAAAGAGTAAAATCTTTGCAAAAGCGCTTGTTCCACTAAAATTAGTGGCTAAATTCACTTGGGGTTTCATCGTGGAATATTTATCTTGTAAGTAATAGAAACCATGATTTGGCAACTTCAGCCTTTCTATGGAGTGGTCTCTATGTAGGATATACACGAACTCTCTTCAGCTAACACTATAATTTTTCACTCATCACTATTCATAACAATATCACCTTTATATTAGATAATATCACTTTTTTATGAGAGGAGTATCAGAAGTAGCCTTTTCCCTTTCAATATTAAAGTAAAATCTTAGGTCTTAATCTAGTTTGTTTTGTTTGACTATGATTCATAGTCACAGATGGAATTTGTTGGACTGTCATAAATTAATGCCAAATTTCAGTTTATGTTACTGTGCTAGTTTATAAACTGTGGTGTTTGAAAAACAGATGCATGGCCCATTCAACTACTGACAGTAACCTAAGGGCTGGATAGATATCTGGCTTCAACTTCCCCGGCTAAATCTCTTTATGAACATGAATCAGAGTCAATAGTCAACAGATTTGCCTCAGGAATTACTAAGTACTTGACAAACTTAGTATTTGGCTCATGGGAGCTGAGGGAAAGAAAGAGAGAACTTTGGGGTGTTTCCTTTCAATCTTTACACAATCTTCAGTGCCTTCTTGGGTGCTCTAAGTCAACACCAGTGGAAAAAACTTACACAAAAGTCTCACAGATTCTTCAAAGGCTTCTGCCTTCTTTATGTAAGAAACAGTAAGTGCTGAGGAACCCTCCAGTTTCAGCTATTTAGCCATGTCAATTCAGCCTTGAAAGAAAATATTTGTGAGCAGATATGAATGCAGGAACCTGAAATTCTAACTTGTTCCAGTTTTACAAGGAAATGGACTAATTGAGAAGGGGCAGTTTTCCAAACCTCACCTCCCCAGGGGAAAGTAGTATTTCATGACTCCGTTTTACCATTATTTGAGTTAGACAGAAATACAATTTGTGGATTTCCTCAGTTTCTTTGCCTAGGCCAAGACTCTTCCAGATCAGCTGACAGCTTGCTTAACAATTAAGTACTACAGTTCTGCTTGTACTCATCCTCGTAACAATTCAGAATTTCATGTCAAGCCTAATGTTCTACAACAAATGTCACAACGGAGTAAATCATCCTTCTACACTTTAAGCTATGACTATTTAGACTATTACAATAGATATTTCCTTGAACAAGCTTCAGTTCTCTCAGAGATTCTTCAGACTTGCCATTGTACATTGAAATGACTGTCATTACTTTTACAGCATAATATACTTGGCATTTGAAAACCTGATAGGTATGCAATTTGTCATAAACAGCTTTATATAGTACTGAGTTAAATAAGTGTAGGAGAATAATTATGACAGCAACTGCTGTAAAAGATCAGAAAACTGACAGAAAAAAGCACAAAAGGAGAAGGCATCAAGTTCTAGCAGACTGTAGGGAATGTAGAGAATATAAGTGAATTTGTAAATCTCTACAGGCAGCTGTTTTTTAAGGATATACTTAGATGTGACACATTTTCTAAGGAGCAAGACATACAGTGAGCAGTTACAACATGAAAAAGGAACTTCGGATCATTAGAATATTTTACATACCATTAATATTTTACATACCATGTGCAGATTTGATTATTTGAATATAATGAGGAAGTGGTCAGTAAATTAATTTCGAAACATAGCTGGTGGGAATTTCACATTTTGAACAACCTCATTTCCAGTATTGATTTGAGATAAAGCTATTTGCATACTACAAAAAGATAGTGTCCAAAGCCTGATTCATTGATTTGTTTCTATACTTCTCAACTTGCTTCTTGCTTGCTATTTGCATATCTTCATGTGGCTAGCTTTGGCTTGGGTTGGTATTTGAGCAGTAGCCAAATACCATCTGAAAGTCTGCATTCACATCAGGACAATCTGTAGAAGAATAGAACAATTCGGTTTTGTCACACTTTCTTATATTTCTGTTTGAGAGGTTTCTTGGTGACTCAGATATATATTTCTATACAGCACAAACAGTGTTCATATGCAATATGCAAATTATAGGCTGAAATTTGAAAATTCCTGGTGAGCAGAAGTTCTAAGACTTTCAATCGTTTTGTTTTGATCTTGCTTGGACTTTTTTTTTTTTACTTTTATAGAACTGTATGTTAAAGCATTACAAGTAATGTAGCATATTAAAATTAATATTGTAGTATAATATGAATATTTAAGAGAATCCAATCATTAGAAATTAAATAACATAATTTTAAAACTTAAAAAGTCAAATAAATTTGTTTTGTCTGTCTAGTAAAGCTATTTGTTGCATGGTTTCTTTCAGAAATGGTTTCTCTTAGGCCAGACAATATTTTCTGATGGAAAACTGCTCCAACTAGTTCTACTTACAAAACAAAAAGCAGTCCTGAGTAATTCTGTATTTTATTGTGAACAACTAGTTTAACTAGTTGTTCTTTAGAATAATTTTGTATCCTTTCTGCTTGCGTTGACAGGTTTGCTGAAGCTAAATGCCTTGGAGAAAAATTAAATGAAGTGAGAAATAAAATAAGTGAGTACATTTTAGCTTCATTTTACCTTTTAGCTGATGAAATCACAGCATTTAGAGGATATGGGAAGAGATTCTAGTTTCTAAAAGAAAAAAGACAATGCATTACTAAGATTTCCAAAAAGGTGAGTTGTTAGCTGATGACAGCAGTAATAATGTACCATTTTTGATTCTTTCAAATACCATAATATGAAAAACAGCTCCCTTCTGTCTGAAATTTATCAAAAGGAGAAGTTTTTAACATTGGGTTTTCTGATTTTTAATTTGGGATAAAAGGATCCAAAAATATAATTTCAATTTTTTTTCTATAACTTAATCTATATATATGGATTAAGGATTTTATTTGTTAAATTTACATAGCTTCTAATAAAAGAAGTTTTCATTGTTCAATTACCCCACTGCACTTCCTTTGTACAGATTAATTAGAGCAACTCTGAGGAGTGTCTCAGCTTGATGGGGGCTTTCATCATTTTTTGCTTTAGGACCCCAACAGAACATGCTTGGCTTCCAGTTTCAGATGGTTCAAGACCAAAAGTCACATATAGATAGAATCAACCCCAAGATATGTAGGTCTTATCTGATCCTCCTAGCAGCCTTTGATATGTTCCTAGTTGATTTCTGAGTTCTGTTGGTTTCAAGCCTGTAGCTTTTTTCCTAAAAAATGGCTATCCAGGCTCACTGTCAGATGTGAAACAGTTTTGTCTTCTATCCCTGAAGTCCTTGGAGATTAGGTCCACATCCTCCTGTATGCACACATTCAGGTGAACAAAGTCTCTTCAAGCTTCCAGATACAGGCTCTGAGGGACTAGATTTAAAGGTAGTCGGGCATCCAGGTCCAGTGGTGCAGACCTTGCTCTCAGTTTCTATCTCCTCTTTGTGTGGCACCAGAGCAGACATGGACAATGAAGTCATTATCATCACTTCTTGTCTTATAATAGCAGTTGACTTCTGGGAAAGGACAAAAATCTCATGGCACTCCTGACAAGTGCTCTGTACTTTCACCATAGCTGTGATTATATTCTCTGTGGTCATGAATGGTAGCTACTGCCAGATTCCCCTCCCAATCACCTTCGGGTACACCACAAGTCCCTCAGAGATATTATGTAGTATATTTAAAGTTATGATGTCAGCTATGAGAAAAGCCTCAGCCATGTTGGCACTGTGTTTTCAAACCACAGCACAAAGGATGTTTGGAAGGGACCCAGAACCAGAGTCACCAGGTGCTGCAGCAGTGTTCTGAACACTATGTTATTTCTATAAGAAATGACACTTGAATCAACCTGCCTTCTTTCAGTAGGCTCATTTGTCTCCTTCAGACTGGCCAGAACATAAATATCAGTACAGAACTTGAGCCTGAATATCCACAGATTGGCCCATGCAACTAGAATTTCAATGTCCACCTTGCAAATATGAGTCTCTCAAGTGTACATAAGCTCATTTAAATCCTACCGAGCAGGCTTTTCCCCCTGGTAAACTTGGAAAATCAAGTCCTAGTGTAGAAGACTGTGCATGTTATTCTCCAAGTAACAGGAACCATCTCCAAGGTGAATAATACCTGCAGCTTTTGGGCAGTGGTGTGCACAGGTGTGGACATGAGCCATCACATCATGATACAACCTCCTTTTCTCTGCTGTCATCTTAAAATTCACGTTGTCCTAATTTTCTTCTATCTCCTAGGTTTACTTATCTGTAATAAAACCAAGTGATTTCTTGGCCTGAATGAGGTAGAGCCAGTGTCAGCACTAAGTATCAAACTTCTTTTGCTGAAGTTGAAACCCATTTTGGAGCAGAAATAATACCAGCAATAAGCAGCACACAAGCATTATCTTTCTCAGTGCCTGGGGCTGCAACTGTGCTGCTTGAAGACAGGAGCCTAGCAGCCACCTTACATACACCTTATATCTGTTGCAGATATCTTAGGGGGAGAACAAATGTTTGGAGGGTGTGGGAGGCAGTACAAGAAGTGGTGGGACACATGCCAGTCCTGAAGGTACCACTTGTAGTGTCATGTTGGGACAAGACTTGTGTGGTCCATAAGTCCCTTGAGATTTGCAAGTCTCTACTGTGGCATGTCTCAAAATAATTTAACAAAGCAATGTAGATGTAGCCTCTCAAGACTCTGTTTCCATGGATCCCAGCAAATCTAAAATAAATCCTTGGTTTGGACTGAATTGCTGTGGGTTTTTCCCCAGTAAGCTAGGCAAAACTTCTGATAGCTATAGTGCAGTAGAGTATGGATTTTGCTGCAATTAAAAGCATCTGTTTTAAAATTTATTTTTGGTTAAGTTCATCAGTGTTAGAAGTGAAGCCATGAAGTGTATTTGGGGAACATGAATGATACAAATCTGAGTGCATATTTCATGTGTATATGTAACCTAAAAAAAGCAAACTGATCCCTTGAACAAAATAAGCAGCTGTATAACATATCAGTAGTACTGCACTGAAGTTGACAATGCTTATATGGCTCCCATAGGAAATGGTAATAGCTTGTAGTCCACATGAATATTGAAAAGCTCCTTTCAGAATCAAACTAGAAATGTCTCCATAGTTCTAAGAATAATTGCACAGAATTACACATTTTCGTTTTGGTTTGGTATATGAAGTGCAGATACAAGTAAAGTGTTTTCAAAATGAAAATTATTTTCATTACTCTCATTTTTTTTTTTTTTAATTTTGGTAGTAAAATGGAAAAATAATCTTTTCATTTAGTTCATACTGTAATGCTACTGTATAAGCAAGAGATTCCATCCATGTTGTATCCTTTTATAGCAATCCATATGCTGATCTCTGCAGATTGTCAGATATACACTACTTTGTAACACTTTAAACACTTTTAAACAGTGATGTCTGAGGCTTGAGGCTGATCATCGTGTACAACCATCTTTCAGTTCTTTCTGTGTAATTTTATGCAGTATGTGAAAATTAGCACTCTGGTCAATATAAATACTATATTTTATTGAACTATCCTTTTCTCCTGTCCAGCCTTCTTTTGATCATAGCTGTTAATAAATCTACCTATTGGCACCCCTCTAACAATTATTAAATCTTTGCATCCAGTATGACACTTTCTAGCTTATTCAGCTTAGTCAATGCAATTACAGTAGTTTATACAGTTTATCAGCCTGCCTGAAACAATTTTTCAGTTAAGTCTGTCTCATCATAGCATACATACTCAGAAGACCATTAAAGATGCTAAGTAAGGTTACTAACCTGCTAATTTTTTACTGAAAATGTGATAGAAGAAATAAGTCATCTGCTGCCTGCAACTAGATCTTTAATTTACTTCTGTTGTTGTTTCAGTTTCCTTAAGTATTCCTGGCTGCCTTGTTGGGCACAATCAAGAACAGATCCCATCAATATCAGTTTCTGTTGTTTCTAAGCTACACTTAATAGTATAAAACTATACACCATAGAGGCCATAGAGCCCATTTCATGCAATCTGATTCTATTTTGAGATAGTGGCAGCAGTTGGCTGTAACTTTTATGTCAGAAATACTCACTCATTCTACACTGGAAATATTAGTGTTTTGCAGTGAAAAGTACACAAAATACTCCCAACCACTTCTCAATTACACTGGCATTTGAAAAACATCAGGAAGTTAGGGCTGGAAAAAGATACTTGCAGTGAGATTTTCATGGTAGGCTTTTGCTGATGTTATTACTTGCATAAGAAGATTAAGGAAAACAATGTCTAGATGTAAACTGGAGTTTAGGTGTAGAGTGACTGTAATATCAGAAGTGAGACATTGTGGCTAGCATGCCTCTTTGCTACTATACCACATATTCCTGGATCCTATCTCCTTTTATTTTTAAAAACACTTCAGAGAATGCAGAGATTTTAAAATTATTTTTATGGTAAATAATATGCATGTCTTAGATTTTCCATTATGCTTACTTTACACAATGACCTCCTAGAAGTAAGAAGGTGAATTTTATTGTGGCATTAAAATTGTCTTTTTCTGATACTTTAAAAAAAAAAAACACAAAAAAACAAAAACAACAAAAAAACACAAAACCAAACCAAAAAAAAAAAAAAAAAAAAAAAAAAAAAGAGGGAAGTATTTCTAAGCCATGTCATTTTAGTGATCCTGTTTACTGAATTATTACACATCCCTCTGTATAGGTACAAATAAAGGAGCAGAGGGCTTTGGTGCAAGCACTGATGCACACTTCTTTTTGAAAGTCAATATACTGCATAAATAGACCATCAAAAGGCAGAGAAATTAAATATAGATTTCAAATATGTTCATGTGTCTGGATTGGTTTGAGTGAACTAGTCAGAACTGTTTACATATGACTGGAGAATGTACCCAAGGACTAGATTTAAAAGACAAATAAAAAAACCCAACATGAGTAAAACTAGAAAGAAATAACTGGGAGGTCAGGGAACTAATGAGAACTCTGTAACCAGCATAGAAGTGGAAAGCAAGCCAGCACTGACATACAAGTAGATTTTTGCCTTTCTAGTCCAACATTAAGAACAAAAAAAAAAAAAAAAAAAAAAAAAAAGGAAGGGTTATTTTCTTGTGAAAAAACATGAAGTGCCGCTGCAAGTGTTTTTGTATTGTATCATTTCCAAAGAGCTAGGGTCTCTAACAAGAACTACAGATCCTTTTGGTATTACCGAAAAAGACTTAGTGAAGAAAATTTGATGCTGAAGCTAAGGATTTGATTTCAGAATAATGAAGTATAGAATTTCTTCTTGGAAAAAAAAATTGACTGATTGTGCCTGGCACATTGTAATGGGTCAACCTCAGCTGCTGCCTGACATCTATCCAGCCGTTCTTTCACCCCCTTTCCTCAGCAGAACAGGGGGAGAAAGTAAGAAGAAAAAGCTCGTAGGGCAAGATAAAGATGGGGAAATCACTTACCAATTGCCATCACGGGCAAAACAGACTCAAGTTGCAGAAAATTAATATAATTTATTACAAACTAAAATAGGTCTGGATGGTGAGAAACAAAGACAAAACCTCTGAAGTCAAAACTTCTCTCCTTATCAGGGC